AAAAGACGTGTGCGATCTAGCTCGTACCGCGGAGAAGCCAAGTTGCAACAGGCGCCGTCTGGCGTTCAGCTCTCAGGAGACGCCTCTAGCTGCCGACTTCACCGAGCCTCAGATAGGCGAGGTGCGAAATATTATCAGCCCCAACACACTCAAGAAGGCGGTCTGTGAGCAGAACTCGGTCCCATTAGAGGAGAAGAAGAAGGCACGCAAAAGAAAGACTAAGAAGGGTGCGAGCCAGCCGGCACCGAGTACGATCCGTGCTCAGGACAGGCCACCTTCACCGCAGGATATCTCGAGGAGGGTGCATGTGGCGGGTAGGGCGATGCTACCGACAAATATGCTCAATGCTGCAACCGGTGCTATGCGGAGTCTGCATGACAGTGTTCTTGCTTTGGAGAAGCGGCGTCTCAGAGAGAAGGATGTGGCATACCCGGTTTTCGCGGCCAAGGTGCCAGAGGGCAAGGGCTTTGTGGATAACTCCATCGAGTGTACGATCGTCCTGCGTTTTGATGACATCCACGCTATGTTGAACCTTCATCCGCTGCACTACACCTTCGTTCAGCTATTTTCGCTGAGTATGGAGATGCGGATCATTCGCGACAAGACCCCGGACATCGTGATAGTCGACCCCTTCTACATGCGTGCCAAGATCTTGGGCAGCGCTGGGGACCGGCAAGTCGCGAGTTCTTACCTCGAAGGCGTCATTCTGGCAAACCAAGATAAGGATAACTTCCTCGTGCCTTACTTTCCCGAGTAAGTCCTCCCCTCAACCGGCCCGTAACATATGAATTCTTACATTTCGATCGTTTTTCTTTTAACATTCCGTGTTTTCTGCAGTGACACACGTTGCACGCTCATCCTCCTAAGCCCCAAATATTCCATGGCCACGTATTTCGACCCGAACCGTCAGTCAAACGTAGACTACACAAATGTCAAGAAGGTTCTTGATGATGTTCTCCCCGGCTACGCCCAATCTGGAGGCACCTTCACCAGGCCTATTCGTAAGTACGGCAAGCACGTGTTCTCTCATAATACGACATTCTGCTGCGTCAAGCAGCCGCCTGGCGGTCAGAAGGGTGCCTACTACGCCATCCATCACATGCGGGCGATCGTACGGGACCATCATCAACTTCTGCTACCGAGTAAACTCAAAGATTGGACCGCGAGCGTGTCGGCAATCCAGGACGCGGACCTCCGACAAGAATTCTTTCACATCCGGTCGGAGTTTGCGGAAATCATCCATCAAGATGTCCTTCGTACCTCGGGGCAGTTCTACCTCAGAAATCAACCGTCCAACAGTGACATCGACACAATGCTACAAATGCAGGATGACAACGCCCGTTCTTTCATGACTCCCATGATAGACGGCGGCTTCATCCACGCTCCGGTCCCTTGAGTCGAGTTGTCTAGTTCTGAAACATCGATTGGCTCATGTTGTAATTAAACTTTAATGAACTTGTAGTATGTCTCTTTGGTTTCGAGAGTCGTTCAACTTAGATGTAATCGATGCTATTAATGTCTTGCTTTTCTCTTCCGATCGTTCTGTTGCATACTTATATATTGCTTATGTATTGTCTGTGAATTGGTACTAACGTTTCGTTTGGCTAGTGCATAGCGATGCCGACGTATGTCGTGTACAAGGGTAAGGTTCCCGGAGTCTACGATGACTGGGAGGAGTGTCGGAGACAGGTTCACCGATTCAGCGGTAACAGTTACAAAGGGTACACCACTAGGGCCGAGGCCGAATCTAGATACTCCCGCTATCTAGCGGGAGAGGGGAGGGAGCGTTGGAGGAACCGGATGAAGACGAGTTTCATCGTGATGATGCTCATCGTGATGACCGCAGCTCTCTTCTATGTGATGGTAGTTTAGATGATCGATATCGACTTGTAATGTGAAGACAGACTCGCTACTCGCGGTCTCGAGACTTGTAATATAATGTTCTATCTTTGTTCGGTCTTTTCAATTCGGAGACTAATATGATGAATAGTATTCGGAGACTAATATGATGAATTGTATTCAAAGAATAATCTTCTATTGTATTTGATGAATCTGTTGTTGATGTGTGATGTCTATATTTTGTCAAACTATACATTTTGTAACCCGTGCAAAAAACAGAAAATAAAAAAAATAAAAAAAACCTAATATTCATACTAATGACGCATCACATGACAGTGCGCCATTAGTATGACAGTGCATACTAATGGCGCATCACTGGGCAGTGCGCCATTAGTATGCCGCGGTTACTAATGGCGCATCAAAAGGTGGTGCGCCATTAGTATGCCAAAGCACCTGTGTATACATGGCCCCTGAGAGGCATACTAATGGCGCACCCTGGCCTATACTAATGGCGCACCCGATACCAGATACTAATGGCGCACTAGGTGGTGCACCATTAGTAAAAATTACTAATGGCGTGCTATTAATGGCGCACCACAGATGCGCCACTAATAGTCATACTAGGTGCGCCATTAGTAGGGGTTTTTCTAATAGTGTCTGATCAACTCTGTCACTATCTAGTGCATTTTTTAATATTTATATTCCAACTTATTAATAATTTAGCTTATAATACACTGTTGAACTATTTTATTCACCCACTATACCTATTCTTATCGTATTCCCGTGAGCCCATTTTCGGAAAATGTCGTTCCCCATATCTCCGTATTCACATCCCCATATTATGACGTAGCTAAAACCACAACTTTTCTACCAAGAACCCTATCCAGAGCCGACCATTTAACACGGATGAGACTAAGAAAAGACTGGGAGGAAGGGGAGGGGATTACTGGTGCCTTTTTCGGACGGCACAATTGTCTTTTCATCCGACGATGAACCGCTGATCGCCATTGCCGCAACCAGTGCAACGATGAAGGACAAGGAGAAGGGACCTGATGCAAAGGCGCCGATGAGAACACGTGAGGGAGCGGTGTGTAGTTGGGTTTCTAGGAGCTGATATGGTAGGTCCCACGTGTATAAGGGTGAAACCTGTTTGGATTCGGATGAATAATGCTCATATCATATCTTACTTCATATTTATTTTCGGATTCGGAAGCGGGCCGGATGCGGATTCAAATACTGGATTGTATGGATTCAAACATGGTACGGACTCGGATCGGAAGCGGACAAAAATGACCGAACAACACAACTATACAAGCCACGATCCAAGAGGGTAATACAACTAATAAGCATAGTTCAGGGGCTCTTAGCCTCTTAAGTTCACATGCTAATAAAGGGTTCATGCCTTCCGTAGAAATGTATAACAAATCATCACCACGTTCAGACCATCAAGCAAGAAGTGGCATGTGTCCTTGTTCGTAAATAACAAGCAACGTTTGTACAAATCATCACCATGTTTACCCCGGCTGGCTGTGATTGCCACATCTCTGTACGTGTGGAATCCTGGCGGAGACAAACTACTTCTCAGCCAAGAAAGGCCGGGATAAACCGAGATTAAATAAGACAGGGTGCTGATTTCAAGGATTTGAAGTTCAGGATTCATTTCAGACTTTGACTACAAAGTCAAGGTTTTTTTTACCGTGGACAGGAGCCTGAAACCCCGGGTTACAGTTGCGCTGCCGACCCCGTCTTTCCGTTGGTTTCGGCCCCGTCTCACCACATCCCATGGATCCCGGTTGAGTTTTCTATCGCCGGACGCCCGCTCGTCAAATCTTGATAAGATTCCCATCACCAAAATTTGACGAGATGCACCCCAACCAAAGTATAGTAGACCTCACTGTTACAACATGAGACACACATGCCTCTGTCTGGTCTCAGCTCTCAACGATTGGTTGATGAACCCCTCGCTCACACAGGGCTCGCAGCGTGTTAAGACTTCCTGTCGATCGTTTGATCACCGTACAGGTCCCGCTGCAAGTCTGCGTGCACCCGGTTACCGCTGCAAATCCTCGTCAGTTTTTATGGGCGGGCGGCCCCATCACTCGGCACGACGGTGGCAGAGCACAACTCTCAAGACCTCACACAGCCGCAATTAATCGGCTTGCCAGATGAACATGATATCTTCATGTGACAGCCACGAGCTGCAGCTGGATACTAGTGCTAGATCTGAAGCTCGTCGTCTGTGGCAACCAGTGCCGTGCCCTGGAGTAGTATTATACTGCCCTGCGGTAAACGCAGAAAGCCAGTGTGATAAATAAATAAACAAGTAGAGTAAAAAAAAATCATGAGAGGCGGCCGCGAAACAACGGTGCGATTTCAACCCAAGGGTAGGAGCCAAAGCGCAGAAAACAAATGCAGCTTAAACTATGAAAGCATCGTCTACTAGTCTATAAGAAAGCTGCGTCCTGTGCCTTGTGCTTTGCCCCGGACCAAAGCATTAGCACGCTCCTCCACAGCCCACTGCTCTGCCTGTTTCTGGCTTTGCCGTTTCCCGTTCCCCACTCACTCGTCGTCGTCGGCGATACAGTCTTGGGGATTGTCTCGTGGAGGCGGGAGCGATGGGGCGTCCGTGCGTCGGCGCTCTCTTGGCGTGCGCCGCCATTGCAGCTTCTTGCTGCTGCTGCTTCTGGTTCCAGGGTGCTGATGCGGCGGCGACCCCGTCGTTCGGGGACAACTTCGACATCACCGGCGCCGAGGACCACGTCAAGACCTCCCCCGACGGCCAGACGTGGTACCTCTCGCTCGACAACAAGACCGGTAAACGTCGCCGCCATCCATCCCCGTTGATTGGCGCACGCATCGCATGCATTAGGATCGTCATCTCCTATCTAAGTAGCTTCTCTTTGATTGATTGGTTCTTGCAGGCGTTGGGTTCCAGACGAAGCAGAAGTACCTGTTCGGGTGGTTCAGCATGAAGCTCAAGCTCGTCGGGAACGACTCCGCCGGCGTCGTCACCGCCTACTACGTACGTACTACTACTACTATCCGGCATCCCATTCCCAGCCAGGCAGCAGCGCCGACCCATCAATCGAAGTCGAAAGAGCAAACAAAACTGGTAACAAACTGACGTGAATGGATTGCGTGCGTTTGATCATCATCATCAGATGTGCTCGGACCTGGACGCGGCGCCGGAGCGCGACGAGCTGGACTTCGAGTTCCTGGGCAACCGGACCGGCGAGCCGTACATCATCCAGACGAACGTGTACCGGAGCGGCGTGGGCGGGCGGGAGATGCGGCACTCGCTGTGGTTCGACCCCACCGCCGAGTTCCACAGCTACTCCATCCTCTGGAACCCCAAGCAGATCGTGTAAGCCCCTTTGCTGCCTTGCCATTAATTCAGCTTTCAACTCCGATTGCGCCAGCAGTGCGTGTAATCTGGGATGGGATGGGATGGGATGGGAGGGTGGGGTTGCCGGATTTAGTAGCTGCGGGGGCAGTTGAATTGAACGGATCCACCGACTCACCCCTGCATTTGGGTCACTCCGGTTGATAGATAGATACCCACTGGACCCGACCCGGCCGCGGAGTAGCAAAACTAGGCCGCGTTGCCGTGCTCTTGGTACGTGCACGCACCCTGTTTGGACCAAACAACGCGCGCCGCCGCGCACTGTTTGCACGTTGTACCGCCTCGCTCAATCTTCTTCCCTCCCTTCTCTCGGCTGCCTCGGGCGTAGTAGTACTGCGTACTGCTGAGAGAGAAACTTTCTGCTCCGCTGCCGCAATATATGTAGACAATATAGTGGTATACAGCGGTGTGGGCGCACATCTCCGTGGTTGCTGAATAGCCGAGCGCTGTACTAATCTATTATACAGTGCTACTATACTGGGATCGAGATCCGATTGCACTTGCCAAGTTGTCTTTGATGCCGATATTGTACTATGTACGTTTGCAGGTTTTTCGTGGACAAGGTGCCCATCAGGGAGTACCGCAACTCGGACAAGCCCAACAGGTTCTTCCCGATCATGAAGCCCATGTACGTCTTCTCCAGCATCTGGAACGCCGACGACTGGGCCACGCGCGGGGGCCTGGAGAAGACGGACTGGACCAAGGGGCCCTTCGTCTCCTCCTACAGCGACTTCACCGCCGACGCCTGCGCCTGGGCGGCCGGCCCGGCCCCGCCGGCGTGCGCGGCCGCCACGGGGGACAGCTGGTGGGACCAGCCGCCGGCGTGGGCGCTCGACGACGGCCAGCGCCGGGACTCCGGCTGGGTGGCCAGGAACCTCGTCATATACGACTACTGCGACGACCGCAAGAGGTTCCCGGCCGTGCCGGAGGAGTGCGCGCTCAGGACCAAGACCAGCTAGCTCTAGCTCCTGACGGATGGGCCCTGGCTCTCGCTTCACATGCATGGTTCTTTTTTGGGTGGGTCGGGTACGTGGTGTAGCTATCGATTGGTGGATGGATTTTCTTTTCTCTTGTTTTGGGTGGGTCGGGTACGCGGACGTGCATGTGTATGGTGATGCGGCATTGATTGCCCGGGGTGGCTGTGCTCTCATGTGAGTGGTAGCCCTTTCGGAGGAAAATGATGGCATTTTTGTTCCGATGCCTTCCGTGCTCCACGACACGAGCATGGATGGGCCAAAACTTCCGAGTAATGGTCCCGCGTATACGCATGCTAATCGGCTTGGACTTCTCACTTGTAGTATTACCGTGTTTTGTTTTTATCTTCTTTACATATTTTTTTGAACACCATACATTGTGTTTTGGACTTTGCTTCGCTACACATCCTTAGAAAAATCTATGGGTTTCAATGCAGATTAGAAAGTGCCCCTTCAATGGTGGTAACCATTTGTTTTCTCTCTAAATTCTTTTAGCATGGTACAGATGCAAGTTGCTCATATAAACAAACATATACTCCCTCCATTTTTTTAGTCTGCATATAAGGTTTGATGAAAGTCAAGCTCTGTAGAGTTTGACTAACTGTATATTAAAAAATATAAACATTCACAATATGAAATCAATACTATCATATGCACCATGAAACATATGTTCATACTATATAGTTTTAGTATTGTAGATGTTCATATTTTAATATATATTTGATCAAACTTTATGCAGTTTGACTTTGACCAAATTTTATATGCGGAGTAAAAAGAAACGGAAGGAGTATTTGACTCTATGAACTCATGCACGCACACCCTATCTCATGAGCACCTCTGAGATATTGACCCAACATCACATTTTAAGATTGGCGAAATCACCACGGTTGATGGGACATCTTCTTTCAAAAGTCTAAAATAAATTTAGAAAAATACGAGAATTGGTGTTAAGTTTAGATTTGAACCCCGATAGACTGGTTTCAACAAAAAAAATCTAATTATCTGAGCTAGGCTGAGATGCTTCACTTCTTAGGAGTAAATGCATTTCGCGTGATAGTGGCCAAAGCTGACCCTTTTCTAAAACTTTAGCATAAAATGATTCCGATATAAAAAAATATCACGAAATAGCCCATTCGCATGACTAGACAACATCACACTTTGGGCTGGGGTGTGTGTCATGGCCCTGGCTCGGGGCGACGTGCATAGGAGCTCCCTGCCACCTCAGCCCCAGGCGGGTTATTCTATTAAAAAAATGGATCAGATTTATTTGTGTGCTAAAGTATCAAAAAGGCTAGATTTGTCAATTTTCACCATTTTCGCGGTGGCAGCCGAAAACGAAACATGAAAACGTGTCAGAGGCAGGCATGGGCGAAGCGCACACGTCGTCGAGATGAGATCTCATCTCGTTCGACATGCTTGTCAGGAAAACAAAAATGGCGGTTCCTGCCACAGATCTGGCTGGCTGGATGGTCTCCCCGGCCCCCGCTGTAAAATGACGAGATTCCTTTCGTGTCTCTGCTGGGGAAATTTGGCAAACACGACCCCCGAAAGGAGAGGAGAAAAGAAAAAGGAAAGGCTACTGGACGAGCATCTGCATGTGTGAGACTGAGATCGATATCTAAAGGAAGCAAGAATCCAAAAAGCATGCGGCTACCTTTCAACGGCTAAAGTGACCGCGAGGGACACGAATTCCACTGCTCCCAGTCGGATGATGGTCCACACCGGTAGAGATGATTTTGATATAACCAAATTTTTACATGATGGATGCTCCGTTGAAATCCCAAAATTCCATTGTGCCCAAGTGATTTGGTCTACGGACGACCCTGACGGCCTCGAAATATTTTGAGCAATCAGGGCATCAACGTAGATCCACACTATATCCATCCGTGAGACCAGTCTACGGAGGGTGATGCGAGAGTCGGCCATTCAAAATAGTCTTTTAAATATCAGTCGAGATCTAGTTAATTGGAAGCTCGTCTATGATTGATAGGGTGCATGAGCCCAAAAGTTTCCTTCACATAGCATCTCCAACAGCCGCCCAACACGCGGCGTGCTAAAAACCAGTTTGCAGCACGTCCATCGTTTGATTTGTCACGGCGGGCATCGCTGGCTCCAGCAGCCGCGGCAAAATGCAGCGCACGCGTAGCTTCAGAAACACGCAAAAATGCGGCGCGCGCGTTCTAGCACAAACAACATATGCGCTCCAAACACAAGCAAAAAGATCAAACACAAACAAAATAAATCAATAATAAATAGTTCAATTTCGTTATTACAACTCAAACAGATAGTTTATCGTTCAATACAACAAATAGTTCAACAATACAACATCAAACATCAAACAATACAATAATACAACAAATCATGATGCTCTTTGACGGCCATTCCAAGCCCATCACTTTTTAATGAGATTCTTTTGACGATCATCATGCGATGAGGACGTCGAATGGCATGATAGGAGGCAACAAAACAGACCATCCTTTCAGCCGAGAAAATTGAATATTTGCCACTTTCAATATGTGGCTTCTCAAAATTGCCACTTTCAAGATTGACTTCGTAAAATTGCCACTCTCCTCGTTGGCTCCATGATTACCATGCCACTTCCCTATTTTTGGTGATTTTCTTTTTTCTTTTCCACTCATAAGCACCGGAAAAGGCCAAACTACCCCTAATTCTATACAGGTACTATCCACGTTCTGATTGATACGAGAGCGCACCGGCCGCCGACGAGAATACCTTGTCCTCGATGTAGAGTGTCGCACATCGCTTAGACGTCGCGTGACGCCGATCTTCTCGACGTCCCGTGTTGCCGATCTTCTATACGCAGCATGTCGTCGATCTCGGCAACGCCGCATGCCGCTAATGTCGCGTCCAGGCCGCGTGCATGAATTGTCAATGGTATTGTGTTGACCTTGCTTTGTTCAAAAAATCGGTAGTGATTGATCCATCCGCCTCCTCATCCCAGCCGACTGGTCAGCCGGGACGAGCGGCGCGAGCGCCGAGCAGGCCGCCGGCCTGAGTGGCTATGGCGCGCGGGCAAACAGGGCGATCGGCGATGGCAGACGAGCGGAGCGAGCAGCAAGCAGCCGAGTGGCGCGGACGACAACGGCGACTGTGCACGGACGACGACAAGATCTGTGCAGCTCGTTCTCCTCTACTCGAACAGATGCATAAACAGATCCAGATGGTCAGATACTGATGTGTAATGTGTACATAGAATCAGGGGGTAGTTTGGTCTTTTCCTGTGCTTATAAATGGAAAAGGAAAAATGAAATCACTAAAAGGAGGGAAGTGGCATGGTAATAAAGGAGCCAATGAGCAGAGTGGCAATTCTGCGAAACCAATCTTGAAAGTGGCAACTTTGAGAAGCCACATATTAAAAGTGGCAAATATCCAATTTTCTCCCTTTTAGCCATCCGCCGCGCTCGCACGGAATGTCCCAAGAGCTTATAGTGAGAGTAGTCTACATCTTGGCCACACTCATTCTCGATGATCATATTGTGCATGATCACATAAGCGTGCATGATGTACCAAAGTATCTTTTGATCTCAAAATCTAGTCGGTCATCTCACAATAGCAAACTGGGCTTGCAAAATCCCAAAGGTTCTCTCCACATCTTTTCTAGCCGCCGCCTGAGCATTGTGGAAATCAAGTTTTTTCTCACCTTCTGGTTTTTTCAACGGCTTCACAAATGTTTGCTACTTTGGGTAGATGTCATTCGCAAGATAGCAACCAAAGTTGTATGTACGGTCATTTGCTACAAACTGCACCGGTGGCAGTTCACCATTTGCAATCTTATTCAGTGGTGACCGGTTGACAATGTTGATGTCATTCAAAGATCCAGGCAGACCAAAAAAAAGCATGCCAAATACAAGTATCTTGATCGGCCACCGCTTTAAGAATTATAGTGGAACCCTTTTTTGGCCGTGGAATTGCCCATGCCATGCCTTTAGACAATTCTTCCAACTCCAACGCATGCAATCTATTGAGCCAAGCATACCTGGGAAGCTGCGAGCTTTGTTCATCTTCAATAGCCTTGCGGCGTCTTCAGCATTGGGAGATCTCAAGTACTCCTGGCCAAACACTTGCACAATTCTGACTGCGAAGCGCTTGACACACATGATGGCTTGGCTCTCACCCGTGTCCAAGTGATCACCAACTAGATCAGCCGGGATACCGTATGCCAACATACGCAAAGCGGCTGTCACCTTCTGAAAGGTGCTATGCCCGAGCTCTCCGGCGGCATTCCCCCTTTGCTGAAAAAATCGGTCATGGCTCGCTAGTTTCTCTGCAATGGGCCTGAACAATTCGGTGCTCATCCTAAACCGGCGACGGAAGTACGACTCCGGATATGTGGGATTCTCCACAAAATAGTGCCTCATCAATCTGTTTGGGCATCGATCCTGTCCCTCCAAATTTTCTGCCGACCCAAAACCGAACCACCGTGCTTCGGTTTTTTTATTGATGTGCATAGCTAGGATCATTGCAAGATCCTCCTCCTCTTCCATATCAGATTCTTCTTCGGAAAAATCATACAACGAACTCATCTACAATGTTCAATATAAACTAGGCTATAAAAACTACAATCAACATGCACCAAATTCATGTCAAAAATGTGAAGTTGAAGCAATACATACCTTGCGGGCGTTTTGTCGAACACCTTGCGGGCGCCGAGCAGTAGTGAGCGGTCGGGCGCTGTTCGTCAGAGGACCGTCGCGCGCGACGGGCGGTGATGACTAGAGGGAGACGGAGGAAGCCGCCGCGGTCCGGGAATAGGCCGGGGAAGCACCGGAACGGTCACCGGAAGAAATGGGGTGCCGCGGGTGGCGGCGGCGCAGCGGCTGGATGGGGTAGGTGGAGTTGCGAGCTAGCGCTCGAGAGTCCAGCGCGCGGGAGCGGGCGCGGCAAATAAGCGGCGCACGATGGCGTTTTGGCCCGTGCAGTGAACTAGATATGCCGCGTGCGCGATTTTTGTGCCTCCGCTGGAG